GGGCAGGGAGGGCAGCGCTGGAGCCCCGGGGAGCCCCGGCAGGAGGTGAAGTAGCCCCCGGCAGGGAGCGTCCTCCCTGTCCGGTCCCGGGGAGCGAGTCCTGCCCCTGTGCCCGCACATCGCTTGGTTTCCAGCCCGATGGTTACAGGCAGGTAGTTCCGCTGGAAGAGGCTTACCGTTATGAACTGGCGAAATAGGAATTGTCACGGTGCACCTGCGGGGAAAACCCACCAAGTCAACATGGAAGGCCAGGGATCTTACTTCTCCCGCCCTCCCTTCTGACTCTCTCCCCTGAGCGCTGGCGCGCACGCGGTGCGTTGGCCCACGCTCACCCGGGACCCCTGCGAAATCCTTTGCAAAACCCGTGCAAAAACCGTATCTGTCGTTCCAGATTTTCAGAGGGAAAACGTACGTAAAGACTAGATACAACAGCATATTGTACTGACAACTACTAGAAAGTATTCTATAAGCATATATTTTACTTTTTTTTTTGACGGTTATGTGACTATTTACTGCCTTTACAAAGCACCCGTTAGGGTCTGGACATGAGTGGTTGAGAAGTGGTTTAAAACCCGTTCAAATAGGGCTGTTTATACAGATGTATTAACGCATGCACCATTTACCATTCACTTTGTGGTTTCCCATATAGGAGTAGTCATATTCCTGTTCCATGGTATCGTGATACTGTCATTGCTTCAGCATTTGTGATCATGTTCTTTTATATGTCTCATCCAAGCAAATGGTATCTTTTAGTGTGAATGTCACTATCTAAATAGTTACATTCATTTTTAGATTTTGCTTTAAAAGTGTTATCCTAAACTTCTTCCAAAAAGTTGATTTCTTTCTGTTTTAGTATTTCAAAAGAGTTTAAATACACAAATACACAACTTTTGTCAAGTTCAGTCCTAGTTCTGATTTCTGCCTTGGGGTGTTGATAAGCAGCAGCCTTCGAAGCACATTCAAGATTGGAGTGGATGCTTACTAATGGCACTATTTGTTTATCTGCAGTAATTTGCCAGATCCTGGCCTTTGGGCAGCAGGAGATAGGAGCTGATAAGCTTTCTGTACCTGAGGAACTGAGCTGCCAGTCCTGACACTCTGCCCTTGCCTGCCTGTACTCCATGGGTGGCTCCTTCTCCCCTCTCTACTGTGATTGACACCCAGCAGTCCTCAGTCCCTGACTGCTCCTCAGTGCTGGTCCTGCACGAGAACAGGTGGAAAGTCATGTATCAGCCTCTCCCCGCAAATGGAGGGGAACAGACATGTGAACAGGGAATTGAAAAGTCCATCCTGTGTGGAACTCACTTCCACTGCCTCGGAGGCAGTCATCAAGAGCCACTCACATATCTCTCTGTGGCCTCTCTGTGGAAAATGGGCTCAAGAACCTCTTTGACTTTTGGTTAAGGTGTGGTGTTCAGCGTACCTACTACCTGACCCTGTTTGTGGCTGTTGTGGTACAAACCCCAGTGTGTTGGCAGTAAGTGCCACTAAGTGCAAGAGTGCTGTTGCCTGACACTTGGCCCAATGGTCTGCCTAAAATAGTCCAAGCAGAGCTTAAGTAACCGTGCCTCTTGGAAGACTATCTTCCAGAGGAAGGTACCATTCAGACATTTCAGCTATATGTCTCCCAGAAAGGCCTTATATATTTCTACTAGTTTGTGTATTTTTGCCTTTTAATCTGTTCACATAGATGCCTGGAAAAATCTGCCCAATATAGAAAGCAGTCAGGAAAAAAAACCAGCTCTCAGAATAACCCAACATAACAAATACCTACGGTGAAGTTAGGGTAGCAAACAAACCAGATATATGGCATCCAAAATGCTGCATTAATCCTGAGATTTTTTACTGCACAAGGAAGTTTTCATAGTTAAACTCAGGACTGGATTTAATAATGGGGCCTCAGCCTTTCAACTGTGAGCAGTAGCCGTGATCCAGCGAAGCGCTTCCTATTGCTCATCCTCCGGTACAATGCTATCCTTGTGTTTAAGATGTTGCAAAAGTTGAATTCTTCTCCAGCCTAGGGTCACATTTCTCAGGATCTGGCAGGACCAAGTGGGTCTGGGATGGATCCAGGCAAAGCTCACTATGTTAACCCTGAAGACAATCAGGAAAAATCTTGCAGAGACTTCAGTTAAAGAACAGGACATTATATAGAGTGTTTGTGGAAAGAAGCACTGAATATGATAAATAAACTCAAATTCTAGGGAAACAGCTGCATAATTTCACAAAACAAGATTGTTTTTCTAGCAAGTAGTATGTAGTATTTGGACCTCCAAACAAAATGGGAGAGTTTGACTTTCTAGAAAGAAGTCTTTCCTCATAGCCTGTCATGTGTGTCTCTACTAGGTTAAGTTAAACGAATGGTGCTCAATCTCCAACGGAGGCTGAATTTCACAGTCCTAAGCGTTCATTTCTGTATTTTGTAATTAGAAGTTTGATTTCATTGTTCTAAAGCCAGTATTTAAATTTAAAGTTACTAAATAACTATTACATTTAAAGGTCCTAAAAGAAAAACTTAGAAATAATATTCCCATATAAATGGAAAGATTTCCATCAACAATAATCATTCTTAAATGGTAAATTCTGGTAAAAGTAATGAGTTTTCCATTTTGTGTCAGAATTTGTCAGAATATTTTGTGACTGTGAATGAAGGCGCTGTAAATCAAAAGTAGCATATATGCCTTCCCATACTTCAGTGTTTGTCCCATACTAGGCAGAGCTGGTAGGTAAGCTTGCCCTGTAGGTAAGCTTCCATAGCACTTTCAAGTATCAGACTGTTTTCAGTTCCTTATTATTTTGTCAGACTTGACTCACTGGGTTGCAAATTGCTGGGTTTTAGACACAGGCAAGTTTTTCTGGAGCGTTAGAGCAAAATTGGTATGTGTCATTCTGAGAATGAAGTTTGAAAGAATGCTCACATCATTTGTTTTCTTTTTTTTAATAAAAATCCTGAATAATGAAATAATTTCAGTGGAAAATTTAGCCAACTCCTCTCTTAAATGCCTGTGATTTGAGTGGGTCTGGTGTGCAGGGGTAATTTTTTCACAGAGAACACAACATTCGGTGTTGTGTATGTGTCCATAAATATGATAGTTTTACTTGTTTCTGCTGTTGCTGGAGTTAGACAGCACATCAGTTACACAGTCAGATGCTTAATAATATTTTAATTTGTATTATTTATGATGGCCGTTATTTTTAGTTGTTTTGCAGAATGGGTAAGGAAAATAAAAGAAAGAAAAAATCAACCAGTTATGCAACATGAGATTTCCAAGCAATAACTATGGAAATACTAGTGTACTTCTAAAAAGGGAGAAAGAATACCCAAAGAGCTGGGTGACATTTTAAAGTGATGTGCATAATAGTAAGAAACGTATAATTTGATCTTTAGTAGGATTTATAACCCTATTACAAGTGAGCACAGTCAGATGTTTTAAAGATCTATCAAACAATGATCTAATTAAACTGTGGAGGAAAAGAAAATAAAGACTTGTCTTATGTCTAGCTTGATTTATTAATGGAAAAGGTAACGGATATTAATTGTTTCAGGAGTGATTCAGTTACAGGAAAGAAAACTAATGAGGGTGCTGTATGAAAGGGAGAATTCCGATAAAAAATAGAAGACAGGAAGAAACTTTCACCATGGTTCGTAAACTGCTTGTGCTGAAGCTTGCTTGGAAAACATTTCAATAACACACATGACTGACCTGTGATTCTTCACAGGCTTTTCTTCAAATTCCAATGAGGGATAAATTCTCCTTAAGGTCAACTTGTATGGACATGAATAGCCTACAGGCTGCTACAAGCAACTCAGAAGCACAGTGGTGGCACAGTCAATCACACTGACTTCCATCTGCCCTTAGAGGATAGAAGATAAAGCTATTGTTACCTGCCTGGGTAGCCTAAAGCCATATCAGATTAAATCTTCAGTCTTTGAAAGACTATAGGATTCTCATACTGTGCTTGACAGAGATGAAGCCTGTTCTTTCATGGGGGTATCTTCTCCATTTAAAGGAGGGGAATTACCTGATTTTGAAACTGTTTTGTAATTGTGGTTATCTGAACAACGTTACGAAAGAATGTGGCAGGTAGCGCATTTGACCCAAAATATGTTTGTAATCAGTGACACAATTACACCATGCAAAATATAGGAAAAATAAAAAAACACCCAGGAGCGAAAATTGAAGATCAGACTATTAATATTCAAAATGCAGAGCTTTGCTTACAGCTGCATTTATTTAGTGCATTAGTGGCACGGTAGGGGCAAGAATTAAACTGTGTCATTCAGTATAACCTGAGCTTCCATTCAGAGTCATTGTCAGTTGGTATCCATTTTTAAAAGCAAGGTAAAGAGATACGTATATTTTAAACATTATTTCTTTATAAACATTCTCTTACTTTACTTGTCCCTACTTTCACTTACCAAGCACATTCCTGAGCAAGAATTCAGTACATTGCATGCAAATACACCATTAGCCAGAACGTTTATTGTCACTGTCTTTGACAGAAGTCAACTGAGATGCCAGATCAGACTGAGAAATTCTGGCATTCTGAATTCAGAAGAATACTTCTGAATAAGTCTGCATTTTAAAAAAAACTGCCATAAAGACTTCTTCAGATTCTGATCCTTCATTTTACCTGCCATCAATTTTGAGATTTTTTTTCAGGCCACAAGGTCACGTAGATGTCCAAAAATATATTTGTCAGTTGTATTTACTTTATTAAAATTTAGCATATCAGTCATGTAAATTGACTTAAAATGTATAACTAAGTATTTGCCCATTTCCATAGACACTTTTGCTATGATCTGCATGTACGCACGCAAATTGTATGCAACTACCTCTCATCCACTTGAGGGAATTCTTCATTTCATACATAGGAACCCTCTATCATGGTAGCCTATTTACAAAAGACCTTTGCACAGTCCTTACTCTTCTTGAGGTAAGATTTTGATCCTCATGTATTTCTGACACTCCATTTTTATTCAGGTTGTTTGGTTTCAGAAACGTCAGTGGAACTAGAAAGTCAAAGTCCAGAGAAAAAGTTGTTTCTACAGCTGGGGTAAATACCTAATGTGGTTATTAATTTGCATTTATTTTCCCCTTAAAGAAGGAGAAGTTACCACATGATGAATTCTATTAAATTTTAGAGTGCTAACATACCCATTTGTTGTTGTTACTAAGACTTCAATATATTTTTCAGTCAAAATAGCTTCACATCATATTGCGATATGTCCATGTTTCCCAGTTTAAAATACATATTTTCTAACATACTTGTTAAGCATTCCATCTTGATACTTGAAATACTCTTACTCCACAGTTTTTGAATGCTCTCCTGGTGGACATCAGGTCCTGCAGAACCCTTACAGAAGCGTTGATTTTGATTCATCCCGCCTCCAGCAATCGGCTATTCAGGATTTAATATGTGACCATTCCCTAACACCAGGATGGTATCGCTTTATGATTTTTGATAAGCCTGCTGAGATGCCAACCAAGTGCGTAGAGGTATTGTTACAACTCATTTGATTATGAGAAATACATATTTTTCTTATGAATTTTTCAGTAGGATAGGTATAAAACAATATGATTATGGAGACTGATGTGGAGGAATACGGAATACTTATTCCCTCTAAATACTTGGAGTATACTAAAATGTGTTAACTGGACAATTAAGTTTTAAGTATTGAAAATTTTACACCGAATGGGCAATAGCAGAGGATGATAAATTACGTCCTTTTTAGAGCACTCAAAACCTGACATTTGTAGTCACTGCTAAAGAAGATTTTCTCAGTGGCAGCGTATCAGGGATATCGTGTTGTAAAGCTGCAACTATGTGATGGTCAGTCTGTTAGGAAGGCCATGTGAAATTGGTATAAACTTGCAGCCACGTGAATCCAGTAATTGTGGAGCTTTTAAAGCGATCATGTTAGAGAGAAGAGATTACTCCTAAAATGACTTGAACTAACAGAGCTAACTGAAGATTAGTTGCCTTGTCATCTGCAAGTGCCCTAAGACTCAAGAATTACTTGGAATATTTAATACTTTAGACTTGCAATGCTTAATTTTGGAAGTGTTCCAACATCTCTGTAATAGTTACATTGTAAGGAGACACAGCTTCGTAGTTTCCTATTTTAAAACATTTCTGTATTTTAAAAAAGTAAAAATGTCATTAGAATATTTTACCTATGATTTTTCTAATGAATTGAAATTGCCTGGTCACAGTTTCTTAAAAAAAAGAAAAGCAAAGCCCAACAATGAAACACTTTTAAAGGAATATAAGAGTTAAAACAGACTAAGAAAATTAAATTGAGTTTATAGCAGCCCCTCTTGTTTTTATTTACATGTTTATTTATTAAATGTCATTTTTTATTAAATCTTTACAGCAGTATAAAGCCACTGAAGTACTTTTAATGTGCAGCTGACTCCAGGGCTCAGAGGGCTGTGCTGCAGAGGCTACTGTTATTCAGGCTTTTACACTGCAAAAAACTAGCAGAAAGTATGATTCCTGAAGGACTTTCTTTCAGTTAGATAGAATACAAACAAATCAACTAAGTAGTTGTATTTTCTCAAAATGGATACTTTTACACAAAGAACCAGCATGATAAACCAGGGGAAAAAACAATGCATTTTTCGGAACAGAGGTTAGGATAGCAAGGTACACGCTTAGATTGTCTAGGAAAGTTTTAGAAATCTGACGAAAGTTCTCAATGCTTAGTAAATATTTAGTAAAAATAGGCTACCATCCTAACACAGAGGAGACCAGATAATTACAGTTGGAAAGAGATTGATTCAAAACTTACTGAGCAAATGAAATTTATGCACTGACATCTGCTTCTTTGCATCTGTTGACAAAACCAAGACATTTATTTTGAAATATTAAAGTCAAAGCATTAAAACCAAACTAAAATGGATGTCTTGTTTGGGAAGTTTCCTCCTTTCTTTCCCTTTAGGAGAACTTTTATTATAGCTTTATTTAATCCTTGTCAAAGATTCAGACTCTGTTAAAGAATCCATCCCATTTCTGTCTACTTCTCATTAATTCTGTCTGCCTGATGGATTGATGGCTGACTTAGATATTCTAGATTAAGAAAAAAGGGTATACTTTTGAGATGACTAAGTGCTCAGTGGGTCTGCAGTGGTCTTTAGACTTGAGACCAAGAGGTCTAAACAGAAGATCATCTGAGACCTTGTTTCACTATCAGGTTGAAGAAAGGAATACTTGAGGTGATGTATGAAGGAGAAAAGGTTCTCAAAATCTCACAATTTCAGATTAATAGTTTTCATGTAAAAAATTTCCAAATGCTGGCTTTAACACACTATGTCCTTCTAGGTGTTTCTCTTCGGTTTGGTTTCTGCACCACATGAAAGACAGGAGGTGATCTTTAACTCATTCTGGTGACCCATGAACCAGATTCCTTCTTTGTCTCCTTTCCTCAGGATTCATTTTTCTGTATTCCACCGGTAAACTCTGGTGTCTGCTAAATCAGACTTATGCTTTGGTTACCATCATTGGTACTACTGTTAAGCTGTGACCTGCATGGCAGCTTCCTTGACCTGAAGACCTCACATAGCCACAGTGGTGAGGGGTGAAGGGGAATATTCCACAGCACTCTTCTCAATCTGTGAGGAAAAGCACTGAACAAACAAAAAACAAGGCTTTTGTTTGCAAGAGAGGGAGCAACAGCCCTCTTAAATCACCTGTTGAACTGGCATCTGAACTACAGACCTTTTGAAGCCCACTGCTTCGTAAACACCAAAGTATTCAGGGTTGCTACAAAGTCAGCGTGGTGGGTAGGGGAGTGCCACAAGCGCATCTGTTTCTAAAGGTGGGGAATTGAAAGACAGACAGGTCTTAACAGGTGTCTTGCATTTTTGGCAAGGGCTGCAAGCCAACAACCTTGCATCAGCTGGCCTCATCTCTTAGATGAAATCCAGGAGGTTAGCTGAGCCTTCAGTCCACTGCAAATGGCAGAAAAGACGTGTCAGCTTTAGCACCTTTGGTTGATATTTGGCATACGTATGTTCTACCCTGTGTTTGCTGTGCTCTGATAGCATTCACACAGTTGGTTGCTATGGGTTAATGGGTGTAGAGAAACTCATTAAGCCATAACTGTTAGCTTTTTTGGGCAAAACACTTGGGTGTGACCCCTGATTAGGTTTCCCAGGCACTGAATTATAGCCTGTCTTTAAAAACACATATTCATTAGATTCAAAGAAGGACTTAAGTCTCTTTTGTGTGTATTTGCATTCAACCTAGAGGAGGAATATAAGCAAGCCTTCAAATATACCATCTAAACTTTGCTAAAAGCTCATGCAGGAAATCAATTGAACTTAATAATGTACCTCTCATTAAAGCACAGCAACAGGTTGATACAGCATTAACCATTTTCTGATGTTTTCCTCCGGTGCTGAAGATGAATCACTGTGGTACTCAAGCCCCTGTCTGGTTGTCCCTGAGGGAATCGGAATCCATGCCTCGGCCTGGTGAGATCAAACAGTTAACAGCTTGTGCTACATGGCAGTTTTTCTTCAGCGCGTCAAAGGATTGCTGTCTTTTCCGAATCCCTGTCAGTGTGAGGAACTGTGGAGATTTCTTTGTTTACTTGCTGCAGCCCACCCAAGGGTGCATGGGGTATTGTGCAGAAGGTGAGAAAATACATGCTCTAACTCATCTGTGGGTGTGTTTATGAGTGAGTCTGTTTCTCTGATATTTGGCTGAGCAGAAATGTGTGGAAATAGTTATATGTGCTAAAATTTCCTGCAATCCTTACTTTTAATATTGATACAATAGGAAAATGATTTGGTGTGGTAAGGTGGCTTCACACCACCCCTTTTTAACTTACATTTAGCACCCAAGTATTGTTCAAAGCTCGGAAACTTAAGAATTGAAATTTTCCATACAATGAGGTGGGGATATAAGACACATCTAGAAGTCAAAATTCAGAGTACCTACAGTGGCACTCATACTCTGCAAATACCCATTACTGAATATGCATAGAATTATGTGTTGGAGTAAATTTTATTTAAGAACTTGACCAAACGGTATTTATATCAATTATTGTTTACTGTTGTTAGGAATATTTTTCTTACTATAACTCTCTTACCATCTTTCTGGAGAGTGTACATGTTGTTGATAGAAGAAAATCCAACACAGAAATGCTCTACTGATACATACTTTATTAGTACTATGAGAAAGAACTGAAGTGGTTTCCTTTTGCAACGTTTGCCTTTGTCGTGGACCCTTGTGCTGCAAAAGTGTGTTCGTGTTCAGCTCAAAACTTCAGTATTTCATTATTCATGCTAGATGCTTTAGATAATTTAAGGGAAGCATGGTTAAATCCTTACAGTTATAAATACTATGAAATAGTGACAAATTAGTGTGGTAGGAAATTCTTATTAGCTTGTATAACACACCATTGTGAAAATACTAGTAATATTTTTATGCATCATATACCATATTGCCCTAAGTCATATTCCCTATTACTGACTGCTTTCAAAAGCTTAATAGCAAAACTATCAGTGGGTTTTCTGGTGCTTTATTGGCCCATCATTATAACTTTAGGTCCAGTTGTTAAGACATTCTCCAAGGGTAATAAACAGAAAAAAAATGCCAGAAAGGGGACATTTCAGCCTGCAAGTGATTGAAGCAATGAAGAACTCCTGCACTGTAGGACTTTGCATTTACTTTGAATGATGCCTCATGAAGAGGAAAGAGGATATAAAAATCATAGGCAGCGAGCTAGCAAATTTTTACTGCCTGAAAACAAAGTAGGCAAGAAACACAACTCTGGTTTGGCTCTGCTGAATACTGTAAATCTGAAACACATGTTGAGTTTAAAAGCCCTCTTTTAAGATGATGTTTTCTGTGAAGTGTGTTGTACTCTTGTGCTGCTTTTTGTATCTAGGTTACCATGTGTAGCGTGTTTCCTCTTTTAACATTTGATAGCTGTAAACACTTGATGCAAATTTTCAAACAGTCTCTCCTGAACATGCTAAGGAATTCAAACACTGTGTCACTGAAGTGTGGAACATCAAAGTCTGCTCTTCATTCTTTTTGGTAAATGGCGTTTTCAGTGTTGCTGCTGCCTTTTTGGCTTGGTTTGAGTGGAGTGACTAACCTCTTTTTACTCCTGTTACAAATGCACTGGTATTTTCATGTTTAATCAAAGTTCAACTTTTTTTTTATAATGTTCAAAGTACCAAACAACAGCAGTGCATAAGCACTTTTTTCTCAGGACCCTGTAGGAAAGATGATTTTTTTCAAGGTTTGCACTGAATTTGGCTGTCCAGGGTTACAATTAATGAATAAGTATTCAGATGTGGATTTGAGATGACAAAACAGGTGTTCAAGACAGTAATTTAGTTCCTTTTTATTCACTAACAACATCTAAGCATTGGCTGGGTACATCTGCAGTAAAAAATGTAGAGGTGGTGGAATGTTCTGTACCCTTCCTCCTAGGTGTAGCCAGTCTACTTGTGATTTCCAATGCCAAGGCCTTGTACTGACTGCTGCCATAATTGTATCTGAATCTGATTACAAGATTGCTTCTGTTCTGCTGATTCACACTTCAGTTAGTGTCTTGTGATATTTGGTGTATTTTTAACATAGGGCAATAATTTAAGAGCATTGGTGTACATATTCTGTATGTATGTGTGTGAATGGACAATTTAAGAACATTTTATAGTTGTTTCAGATGCAAAGCCACAGAGCTGTGATCCCGAGGGAGTGGAAATTCAAGGCATCTGTAGCAGTAAGTATTTTGTTTTGATTGTCAAGAATTTCTGTGCATCTGTGACCCAATAATGTCAAAATTTAGTCATAGTCTGTCTTGAGTAAAAACATGTTCATGTTATCGACAGTGTTGCTAGGTCTGTTGCAAAATGAGCAGTTTGGAGGTAATTTCAGACCTTAGATTACAAAAGTACTTTTTCAGCATAATGTTCAGAATAAGAATCAAAATGTTAAAAAGTAATTTTAATAATGCTGATTTACAGATTACTTTGGTTCTTTGGCAGTCAAATATAAGATGAATCTACAAAGCATACTTGTTGCTTATTCTGTTCCTTTTTATGTAGCCCCCCCCCCCCCATAAACAGAGGAAATATTCTTCTGTCAGGCAAATTCCTTTGCAAGTTCCTCTCTCTTGTCTGGTAAAATAATTACTTGTATTTTACTCCCTTGTTGTCGTTCCACTCACCCCTCCAGCACCTTCCTATGGGCTAGAGTATAATCAAAGGCTGATAAAGAGTTTTTCTCTTTTTAATAATTAATAAAAGAACATACATATTTTCTCTGATACTCTAAGCAGTTATGTAGTATTTCCACATATGAAAAAGGTAAATATTATTAGTGTATTAATTGACAAAATATGTGTCAATGACATTTCATCTGATACTGTTTTTGCACAGAATAAAAAGCACAAAACACACTTCTGTTTGACTAGGTAAACTGGCTCCTTCATCATCTCCATCTGTGTCACCACCACTACCAGCCATTCCTGAAGTTGTAGCAGAGTTGATTGAAGACAGCATTTACCTAAGGTGTACCTTTGGCGTTCCTTTTGCAAACATCTCGATTGGATTCATTGTAACTTGGTCAAGACTTTCTCCTGAAGGTGTCAAAGAAGAACTGAAGCATGAGACAGCAGTTCATATGTTCTCACTTCTAGAACTAGATGGGAAACATGTCAGACTTGGAGACAGAGTACGTTAAAAAATAATTACGGTCTCTTTGTATCTTTGTAAATATGGCTCAGTAGACACTAACAGTTATTAGAGTTCCAGCACCTTGCTGTATAATTTTTCTTGGCAGAATTGTACTGCCTCTAATTGTTGTTTACACCGACAGTGCCCATATGAATGTGGAAGTACCACAAATATATTTATCACTAATTATCACTGCCGTTAAGGTTTGAGACTGTCTCAGTATAGTATAGTGTGCCTCCAGGAGATAAATGTTATATTCAAGATGCATCATCTTCATCCTCCTCTGTGATTGTGTTTGATACTGTAAATTAAGAGGATTTTTGGATGCAACTGCATCTAAGTGAGAAGCTGTAAGAGATAGAGGTTGTGAGAAGCCGTGTTGCGGATTCATTGGATAGGTATACTTTCTTTGAATCAATAATGAGCTGCTGCTTGATGTTTTTGTCTCTAGGATCAGGTTTAAATGGTTTAATACCTGCCATCAAAAGCAGTGGGAGTACCTGCATTATCTTCCGTGGTAGCAGAATCAGTATCTAGGCTCTCATGGTAACTTTAAAAAGCTTAAACATTGGAAAGTCAATAAGCTTTCTACCTGTATGTACCAAAATACAGGTTAATTTTTCCTGGCCAAAATGAAAAACAAAAAAGCATGTGGTTGGTGTGCGTGTGCATGTGTGTTCAAGCCAAAGCCAGGCTGCTTGGATAGCTTATGGACAACAGCAACTGCTAATCCTCAAAAATCCTTTGGGGACTTTGTGAATATTTGCCTGACAGTGTTAGCTCAGTGACAGTCAAAAGGGAAGGCACAGTCATAAATAACCTGCTGCTGCTATGAATCCTTGGTTTTCTCACATTTCAAATACTGCATGTGTAGTCAACATATGTCAAAAGGGTTACAGCAAAATAAACAAACAAAAAATACAAAACCAAAGCAAAACCACAGTGTCTAGTAGCATGAAGCTGGTTCAGCGGAGAGGAATCGCAGTAAATTCTTCAGCTTGAAAAAGGTTGTTCAGGCCCATAACACCAGGAAAAAAGTAAGAAGAGGTGGAGGAGGGGGTGGTTGTTTTGCATAATCTAAGTTCTGATGGGCACTCAACAAAATTAAAAGGCAACAAATGTGAAATGGACAAAAAGGAGTAAATAACATGTAATATAGTACAGAATACATTTCCACAAGATGTAATGGAGTGTAGAAATGCTTCACAAGGGATTTGTTAAATCCATGGAGACTTAGGTGCTTGTTAAATATGATGGTTCATATGCAGCCTTTAGTTCAGGAAGTCTCTGCATCACTGGTTGGGTATGCCAGGAAAAGATCTTAGGACACTTGATCTGTTTCTGTGTTTTTCTTAAGCAGCACTGGCAGTTGGTAACTTCTGACAGATTCATAATCTGGGCATGATGAATCCATCAGGCTGACCCATGATGGCTGGGTTTTATCTTCACATGACCACTCCATATCAAAAAAGTACTCTATTATTTTGTTTTTGCCCTACAGATCTACTGTAGCAGTTCTGCTTTTTTCATGGAGAAGCCAGATATACAAAGCTCTTCTGTTGAGAGCAAGGAATTTTTTGCTGGCATTAAGGTAATTTTGAAAGAAAATAGATGTTTTACTTTATTGTAGTAGGAGTCTTTCTCAGTATTGCTACAGCAGTTAGTCCTCTGACTAGAAGGTACTCAAAATGTGTTAACTGTGATTTAATAGAGCATATTGTTAGCTGTAGTGAACTTAAATTTGCCAAAACGCAGAAGAGTTAAGCTGTTTCTATGCTCCCCATGTACTCAAGGTGCCGGAAGGCTGAATCGGCAACTCACTTAAGTTATAACACCGTGATGAAAGCGCCGACCTGTGTCAGCTAGAGTCGACTCTGATGCTGTATTTGTAACCTAAGGAGGGCCAGAGCTCGGACTTGAGCCCCGGCACGCTTTTCTCCATTACATTTAACTGCTGCTGCCCTTTCTGAAGTGACTTTGGCCTATGCCAACAGGCTCTGCCAGCGCATGGCTGACGGGATAGCCTAGGCCGGGGCCCCTTCCCAGTTGGCCATGGGGATGAGGGACGGGTGAGGCGCAGAGAGGGATACCGGGGCGTGAGCTGCGCCGTGTCACTTGGTCAGAGACCAGCATCCAAACGCATTTTAACTCGTACTGTGGCTGTAGCTAAAGGAACCAATTTGATGGCCAGGAATGGGACCCCAGTCCCAGAAGGGGACTGCTGTTGGGGTAGTCCTGGTTCACCCAATGTACAACGCGCAGTTCTAGGCCTCTGTTACTGATTTTTGATTATGTATCTATAGTGAGCTGAGTTGTAAGTTTACAGAGAGGAATCCCAGGAGAAATACGGTGTTTACAAATACTTCTGGGACATTGCTGCCTGTAGGTATCTTCTTTCCGCTTCCTCCCAGACAATAAGCAAACTGCTTGTCTTTTAGTTTCCAGAAGTTATCCAGAGAGTAAGTTTTTTTGGTGTTAATGTAGTTTGCTAATCCTTACCTTTCTAGTTAGCCTTTACTCTTGCCTTTTCCTAATCCTTGCACCTATTCTCAAGGCTGTTGCTCCGGTGTCCTCTTCTCATTATGCCACTGCTCTTCAGACCATCTAAATAAGCTTGATCAAGTGGAGCAGGCCATGCACCATGGCATTCGTCTTTTTAGATTTTTATACTTTACCCCTAGCTGGTTAGTAAGCAATACTGCAGTTCGCCCACAAAGTTGCATTTTAAGCACAATTTCTTATGCGTTAGATACATCCGGAAACATATGATATATCAGAAGATGGAAAGGAATACAGACTGGCAATAGAAAGTAACATTCCTATTCCTTGCCCTGAATTTAGCCAGCTTGAAAGTGACTGCAAAATCTCACTAACATTAAACACTGTTGATGAAGGTAAGTAATACCCTGATTTTTGTTGCATTTTGTATGTTTAATGTGTGTTTTGAAATATTCTCTTTGGTCTGCTTCTTTGGAGAAGCTGTTACAGTATAAAATACTTTCTAAAATGTTAAAATAAAATATTCACAGGCTGTATATACTGCTGCTGAAAGTATGGAAGAACGTGTCCATAATCCATTACTTGTTGAAGTTAGCAGGTGTTTTTGGCAGCTGTGGATATCAGAGCCCTATTCTTTAACTTGAATAGACAGAATACTGTAATACTGGCAAAGTTTATAACTCAGTTCATTTTGTTGACCTGTTGTGTTGCAAGTATTGTATATGTAGTCGCAAAGTCATCACCTTTTACTATTACAATTTTCTGTAGTAGTTTCTCAAGCACAAGTCCTGTGAGCCCCAGGAGGAGCCTTGCCTGTGCGGACAACCATTTTTATGTCACATCAGCAAGCCTATCACGATTTCCATTTGGCTATCAAACCGGAAAATTCAAAACCATTTTCTTGGGTGTGTGTATGAAGATGTAGAGAGAGGGTTTTGCATGAGCAAACCCAAGGAAAATGCATAGTTATTTTCGTTTATGAAAACGTTTGTAAATAAGTTAGTATCTATATTAACAGTAGTATACAAAATGTGACTTGTTTAGAGGAAAACTCACTAATGATGTGCTTTCTTTAAAACAGGTAAAGAGCAGTTAGGTTTAAACTTGGCTCTTTCTTCTTGTCATGTGGATCTTCTCCAGAAACCCTGCAATAACGGAATCTGTAGTCAAGCTGTAATTTATTTCACTGCTGTGACAGACTTTATGCAGGATGGAGACAGAATTACCAGAATTGCAGTCAAACCTATATCCAGTGAGAATTTCCTGTGGAATGGCTATGTTCCAGGAAGCGCACAGGTTGAAAATCTTCATGTTAAGCTCTCTAAACCCAACAGGCCAGAAATGTGGCTGATGTAAATGAAACATCTATTTTGGTTGTGACATGCTGGCTCACACCAAGATTTCTAAATGGTCAATTTTCCATTGTTTTGTTTTCATTCAAATGCTGCATCTTCATTTGAATTAAGTTGGGGTTTTTAAACATTTGAATATTATTATGACTACTTAGATTGGTTAAAATTATGACATATTTATTAGAAAGTAAACTAGTGTGATAAGATAAATAATGTGCCTGAGTTTGTTTATTTCTTAAGCTGACATGGCTCACTATGTGCTTCTTTGTCTTGAAGATTACAGTAAAGGATCTACCCACTGCCTACTGCTACTCATTTACTGACCCTCATATAATTACATTTGATGGAAGGTAATCACTAGATTGCTGCTCTTAATTTTAAGTGGTGGTGTTTTTGGTTTTTTTTTTTTTAATGTATGCTGGTGATACAAGTTAGCTGTAGTTCTCCAGAACTGTACTCTGCATTTTATACTCTTTCTTGGACAATAAGGATAAACATGCTGTAGCTAGTAAAAGCTTGCCAGTCATGATGACGCTTGTAATATTTGTTTTTCTAAGTGTAAGTTTTGGGTTGTGGCAAAAGAGTGCAGCAAATGGACTATTTCCACTTTTAGAGAAGGATGGCAAATATGTCTACAGCATAGTTTCCCTATTTCTGTGTGTCAGTGTCTGAATCCCTGTAAGGATCAAGTTGCTAAAAGCCATCTGCTGTCTGTGTAACGTTGTTCTGAGTTCATTAATGGCGTTGGAAGCAGCTTACTTACTGTTGTCACTTGCACATCACTGACCTTCTTTCTGAAGTGAAGACAGCTTCCTTGGCCACAGCTGGCATGTTTTTGGTATGCTTCTGTCTTTCAAAATGTTTCTAATTCGTGGAAGGTGTCAAAACAAACACAGGTTCCACATGCAGACTTGTATGTTGTCTGCTTGCAGAAGCACATTTCTTGAAGTGGCAGGATGAGAAAAAGGGATATCCAAAAAAAGCTGTTCAGCCCACAACCACACTCTTGTGAACTTGATAGCAGAAGGGAAAAGACAAGTTGTAATTGCTTCTCTGATAACCCCATTGACTTTATTGTATTACTTGTCACAGTGCTATCCTTGCAATTTGCCTTTTAGTGAAAATTATAGGGATGGCTTCACTGGGCATTTTAACTGTCGATGCACTGTGATCAAGCTTTCTTATGAAGCAATGATGCTGCAGGGAAAGAACTTTCCTTTTTAAGGATAAAGTCTGTGGCTACTTTATTTTACAAACTGGGGAAACAAATAGGAAAGGAACTGTCCTTACTGAATCGCAGGTAATCCTGTGCAGTCCCAGTAGGGTAGCCATCTGCAGTTTGTCTGCTGGCCCATTATACACAAAGCAAATAGCCATTCTGCAATTAGCTGTCAAATGCCGTTTATAGCCAAGAGGCTGTTAAACTTGCAGCAGAATTTTGTGGGTTTTTTCCCGTTCTTTTTTTTTTTTTTTCCCCCCTTCTTACTGCTGAATTATTAAACTGGCTATTTTAACCTTGCTTCAGGGAACAGATGGCTAACCCTAAGGGAAAAAAAAAAGGAAGTTGGTATTTATGGTTTTCATCTTAAATAATTTTCAAATCTTTGGAAAGAAGCAATCTCCATCTACATCTTAATAAAGCAGACCTTTTATAAAGTATGTGACTTTCTAAATCATTTTGTCAAGGGTACTTATGCAGTCTTCAGCAGCTGCCCCCCATGTGCACACTGCTGTGCATCATATTGCTCTCGCTGCATAGGTGTATTGCTGTAGAAACACAAAGGTTGAGAAGTACCCTCCTGTTCCCAGTCATAAGCACTCTTAAAAAAAAAAAAAAAAAAAATCAAAGAATGGCAGTGGCTTCACAGTTATGTTTCCATTTACAACCATCCTCTACATATACTCCACTCATGATACTTTTTTTATTCCTTATTTTTCTGCTGTAAAACAGGTTTCATTTTTTTGATTTAGAACTGCCCAGAGGAAAATATGATGGTGTTTGTTCAGAACAAAGCTGTGTGTTGGTTTGTGGGTTGTATTGTTTGTTTTTTCTGAGGCAAATGGAAGGAAAATGAGGAAAATGAGTTGCAGTATCACAGTTCACCAAACATGAGAAATCTGTTTTAATGATACAGTTATTTTATAACCAAAGTGATATCACGCACTATTCTTTTTATTCCAGACTCTATGACAATTTTAAAACAGGAACATTTGTTCTCTATAAGAGTACGTCTAGAGATTTTGAAGTTCATGTTCGCCAGTGGGACTGTGGAAGTCTTCACTACCCAGCATCCTGTAACTGTGGCTTTGTTGCCAAAGAAGGAAGTGACATAATTGCATTTGACATGTGCAGTGGTCAGCTACGTGAGTCACAGCCACACTTATCTGTAATAAGTAGAGACATAACAGGAAGCAATGTCAGAATCACTGAATCCTACCTAGGAAGAAAAGTAACAGTAAGTAGTAAATAATTGCTTGTGGACATAATGGTTATCTCAGCAATTATTTTTACCAATTCATACCAACTTCAGAACTAAAACATGCTTTATTTTCTGCAATTAAGCAATAGGATAATGTTTATTTTACAGTCGTAGTCCTTTGGCCACTGTTTTTCTTTTAAGTGAAGGAAGTTATCCTTGAAAACAACGATGTGTATACCTTTCTGGAACCATGTTGTCAATCACAGTATACAACCTGTGTGTGGAAGGTGCAGTTTTCAGATTCAATATGCACTTGTTTAGCAGCCCTAATGTTCCAAAATGAGATCTCTATATGCTCTGTTTTGCTCATGCCAGTGTCATATAGGAATCTGTGCATGCGGATAATTAAGTATGCCAAATGACATCCAGTCAATTAGAACTATAGATGGTTTCTCTAGAGAATGTGGTCCTCAGATAAATATTCACGTTTGCTTTTATAATTTCCTGTAGCTTTTCTTTTGTAGGTAGAATTGCTGTAGGACTCCACCAAATTTCAAATGAAACAGAATGTAAAAATGAGTCACTCTGTTGGTCTGGAAGTCAAGCCATAAAAACAGATATGCCCTTTCAAATTGGGTTTGACTGTCAGTATAAGACTATTTTAAATATTTAACTTTTATCTGAAGCACTTCATCTGAAGACCTCAGATATTAAATATTAAGATGACATTAGGCAACAGAGAAATTAAAAGGATACTGAGGAACCAGAAAAATTAAGTGACTTGCTCGTATTCGTACAGCAAGTTAGTAATAGAAACAGCATTTCAACTTGTAGTGGATTTTGTTCTTGAGACTGCTAGCATTTCTTTCAAGATACTGTAAAGTTGCCTAAAATTAAGTAGTAAATATGTAAGACTATTCTGAGCTTTCTTTGCAGGTAGAAAGTAACTCTGTATTAAGTACTAATACAGGCAATCATGTAGCTGACAAAAAGAAAGTCGAGAAAGGTGCTGCCAAAGAGTCTATTCATATTACCAGAATCATCCCTTTCTATATGCAAGCATGTGAAGAGTGACCAGCGCAGCATTCTCTGTGGTTTTGCAATCACTGACCTTCCACAGTATGCCTGCTAATGGTGGATGAAGTTTATGGACCTACAGTGCACCATCTAGCTGCCTGCTAAGGTTGAGATGTATAGGGTTTTTATTTACAGGACTTCAGGAGAAGAAGAAATAGTCAAATTTGTCTCATCTAGAATCTAGTTAGAGCCAGAATTTAATGGGATGTCTTGATATGCCTGTCCTTTTCCAATTGTTCCTCGCCAACAAACATACCTGGTTTTATTAGGTAAAATAAAAATAATGTTTCTCATGATGGTATCCTCAATCTCTTTTTAGGTTTTGTTTTCTTCTGGAGCTTTCGTTCGTGCTGACGTGAGTGAATGGGGAATGAGCATCACACTTAGAGCACCCAGTTCAGATTACAGACATACAGTGGGACTCTGTGGCACCTTTGATGGAAATGCAGAGAATGACTATCACACTGCAAGTGGAGTGGAAATCCCCAACCATGCTAATGTTCTTTTTTCTTTTATTAAGGAATGGAGGTAACAAAATACTAGTTTCAGTCAATTGTCATCACTTCTGGTGCAACCTTTCCTTTGCACTTTTAAAAACTTGTTGAAATAAAAAAAAGTCTTCTTATCTTTTTAAGTTAATGTTAGAATGTCGTCAGTACATTCCATAATTAGTTTTAGAGCAAATTGAAAAAGAAGAGCCAAATTAGTTTGAGTTTGAGTAGGTTTTGAACAAAGTATCAAGGTACACAGAAAAGATCCACTCTTCTCAATTGTTCTATTGCAAGTTACTCTCATGGTTTTGTGATTTAACTGGGGTCCTTAAATACAGCTGTATGCTGCAGATTCTGTGATCTATGCTGTAGAAGTATGAAACAACAAAATGCAAAACAAACATTAATACTTTACTAAAACAATGAAAATGGGCAAGAAAGTTCAGATACAGTTTCATCTTTTTCTTTCTTCTCCAGAATTTCACCAGGAGATAGCTTGTTTGACAAGACACCTGCTGCTTTAACATCTTCTAGAAAAACAGTCTTCTGTGACTGTGTGCTTGAAGATGCTGGGGTATATCAATCAGTGGATAAACTAGCCACTGTTTCTAAAACAGAACTTCCTATGACTTGTAAAGATAGTGAAAATGGTAGATTTCTTTCTTTGATACCTGGACTGGATGTCACTGCTGAGTATCTCGGTCCTGTTGATCTTGTCAGAGGCTTAAAGAAACGTTCATCTGCACATGAAATGGATTCATCTACACTTCTGCAGAGGGAGGATAATCAAACCAAACTTCACAAAACATCAGTAGTAAACACACATGTCTCTGCAACCTCAGTGGGAAATACTGGTGTAGACAGAGAAGGAACTTCAGGCTCAGGCATTAGAAGAAATTCTTACCGTTATAGTAGTCATCTTCACAAAAGTCAATCTGTTACAACTAGGGGAAAGCGCCAAAATTATTATGAATACCATCCAGTATTTCTATTCCAAAGTCTTAGCCAAACAGACTTAGAGGGGTATAGTTATTTTTTCCCAGAGGACCATGCCACTGACACAGACCAAAAGTATCTTCCTTCTTGGCCCACACCTTCTGGCCTCACTGAGTCTAGCGCTTTGTTACTATGCGGACAGGCAATAGCTAATTCCAGTATAGGAAGATCTTGTGGTGGCCTTCTTGGCCAGCGAACAGAGGATGCGATCAATATGTGTGTTAATGATTTGCTACTGAAAGATGACCTCAGTTGGGCAGAAGCTTCCTTAGCTCTTCTAGAGAATGAATGTGAGAAGAGAGTCTTAGAAGAAATAAATTTCAACCGACAGGAACTTGAAGGGTCAGTTGAGAGCCTACTTACTGCATTAAAGTGTCCCAGTCTCTGCAGTGGTAATGGGGAATGTACAGAATGGGGCTGTGCATGTTTTCAAGGCTACAGCTCATATGACTGCAGCATACTGTCTGGTAAGTAGGGGAAAAAAAATGAGATTTACTTAAATAATGTTCCCAATGTTTGTGCAACATACATACATTTATTTTGCTGCCTTTCTCAACTGCTTTTGTATGCTGACAGGGCTTCCCTACAGTGGCCCTGTTTGTTATCCAGCAATTTAGTTCCAGTTTAATACAGCCATAATTGTTTTCTGTTCAGTCGGGTTGTTTCTGAAGGGCAAAATATGTGCTTAGTTTCTGGCATGGCAGATTTTAAAAATTTGCATTCTCAGTGAGTTTGCAACCAAGAGTATTGCCCCAAGAGATTGGCAATGTTTCCACATGCTGTCGTCTTCAGGGAAGATCTGCCACATCTATCCATTCCCTAATTTTTTATAGTGTATGGGATCTTGTTTATTAACTATAAGTGGGATATTTTTCTCTCTGGTGATGTTACATCTCTGTAAGCTAACTGTTAGATGTGTTGGGAGCAGAATTGATCGTGAAGAAAAAAGGTGCAGCAAATAGAGTTGGGCAGGGTTTTGATTTTTTTCAGTAAATAAGACATTCACTAAAAGTTCAGTTAAGCAGGTACACTGGAAAAATATTAAAAGTACCACAAAATCAAAACTCTTTCAAAACAAAACATGTTAATGTTTTGTTTTGCAATGATGTTTTTGTTTTAGTGACCTATTTAAAAGCAAATAGAGAAAGAGGTAGGAGAATAATAAAAAGAAATATTTGATTCCTCTTAAGTCAGATAAACTGGTTTTGCTTCATAAAAACTGTTTTTTATTGTTCTAATCTTTGTCAGTTTATTTCCTAAAATAACTTCCATCTCAGATGCAGATGTTTTTGTTCGGTCTTTAAACAAAAATTTCCCATTATAAGTTATTGCATAACTGTGATCTTTCCAGTTCCTATTACTAGGGCCTGAGTTTCATTTAGATTTTAATCTGCAAGTGTGATGTAAAGAACCATAGATGAGAAAGCGAAACACATATTCACAAGTGTTTTTTATCAGATGAATATTTTCTCTGCTTCATAATATTCAAGTTCCAAGAGAAGACAAGAAGCCTAGCTTTAAAGTTAAGATTAATTTTAACAATAAAAAATGTTTTCTGTTTATGCCTTTCTTCAGCTGGCTCCTGATTTCATTGTTTACATAGTTTTCTTAGTTGGATAGAGAAATAAACATATTGCTTAATGTGAATGCATATAAATTAGTTAATATACTGACAATCATTGTCTAATGTCTACTTTGAAGATGAGGCTCCAGAAATTACAGAGCTGGAGAATGCTGGGCTGTGTGATATTCGACAGTATGACTGCACGTCAGTAAGAGCTTTTGGACATGGCTTCAGGGACTCATTGAATCTGAAATGTGAAATTATTAAATTACAGGTAGGTCTCCCTGCATAGTAACAATTACATTTTAAACTTCACACAGAATGAGGGGAAACATGTCTAATGTATTATTCATTGATGTGGGTACAACCCAATGCCTTAGTAGGAACTAAAAGCAAAGGCACTCAGCACTTTGCAGCAGACACTCAAGTCTTTGCAAGATTGCTATTTCCTCCATGATAAGAGAAATACAAAACATAATGGGAATGAGCAGCAGCTGAGAGGGAGATAACAGCATACGGCAGCTATCCATCAGAAAGGGGCAAGGGTAGCCCTATTAGGAACAACCAGTACATCATTGTTCCTCTTCTTTAAGTGCTTATGGAGAGGAATTGAAGTACCACTTCTTTGAAGAAGGACAGCAAGGTTAAAGGCATTACTAGATTTCTGTCTCAAACCTAATGCTTGAAATAGCCCTTTTTATAAACATAATAAATCTGTTACAAAAAGAGAACGGCATTTTTGATCTGTTGTCCATTTCCCTGGGGTAGAATGCCCTAGCTATTTAATGATATATGTCAGCTCTATACCCCAGGTTTGAACAGGAGATGAAATATGTTGCACTGTAAACTAAGAGGAATCTGTATAGCAAGACTGTTGTTACTCAGACCTAGAATTTGCTCAAGGAAAATTTACAGGCAGTGTACAAGTGTTAGCCTGGAATAAACAAACTGCAACTAAAAGTTTTTATGTCATGTTGGACATGAGAATAAAAAAAGCTTCACAGTTAAATTGGATTTCGCTGATGTGGTGATGGAGGGGAGGGATGGCAAAAGGGGAACGATTCAATGGGAAACTTCTGTTCCTGACACAAAATAGTTTTCCTTAGCTAATTACAGCAGATGCTAAAATTATTTTGATGAATTAAGCAATGCTAGCTATGGATTTTTCCTAAAAAGCAACATGTATCCACTCATCCACTATGACCAGGTGACCCACCTAGTGGATGAGGGAAAGACTGTGGACGTTGTCTACCTGGATTTTAGTAATTCCTAAAACGCAACATGTATCCACTCATCCACTCAGGACCAACCTGATCTCTTTCTATGACCAGGTG